ACATGCCATCTCTTCAAGCCGATGAACCCAACGATACCATCCACCGTTAAGTATCGTCCTATTGAGTGTCACCTTCTGCAGTGATTCCTGGTGGTTCATCAGAAAAGAGTACACATGTTCTTCGTCTGCCCATCCACCCGTAATACAAACAAACTTCAACGCTGTAGAGAACCGTTCGCGACCGATCTCTTCGCCAAGCCGTGGGGTATGTATGACACGTTGTAGTCCCAGATGAAGCTGCTCCAAATGCGGCATCGTTGAAAGCAGACGAACGAGGTTGGTGGTCAACTCTGCACCCTCGCATTCGACTCGTGTTCCTGGAGCCCAAAGGCTGAGCTGCAACCTGCGTAGGCTCGAAAAGCTCGAGGAAAGAAGTACTGGCAAAGGGCACGGCGTGGCGATCGAGTCGTGATGTGCTCCGATCCCACTTCGACCATCGAGGGGCTCGTTGCTGAAGGCAGGGAGACGTATCTGACTTACTGCTATCGCACTGAGTGTCGTTGACAAAGCCCGGTTCTGTTCATGGATCAAGGCTGTCCCGGTCTCTCTTTCCAGCTTTCGCGCTCCCCAGCTGCGTTTCCCGGTGCTAGAGCCGCTTCCTGCTACGACTATCTCGGTCAGAGTAGTGTCCAGTGCTCTGAGTGCGATGGCCAGGAGTGCGATATCGAGCCCACGCAGGCGGAAAGACTTCTGGCTCTCGCACAATGCGTGCAATGCGCAGTGGTACCTGCTTCGAGTGACGTCCTCGCAGCACACGAGGGCTTCTGACCCTATTCGAAGGATGCGCATGAACGGACCGAACCGCCCATTCGCCACCCCACAAAGAGCCTGCAGTCCATCGCTGGAAAGCATGAATTGTTTTTCACGGAAGCATCGGGCGCCGAAAATAGAGAAGCATTTAGAATCAAAGCTCCTGCAGACAAGGCGGAGGTTAGCCACGTCGGGGTCATCGACATACGTCAAAATATGCTGAAATAGCTCCGTTGGCAAACAGAAAGACATGTCTAAGCAGAGAAGAATGAACCAGGCATAGATGTGGAGGAGTGGGCAAGAAAACTGTCTGAGCTTCTATTCACGTTACCTGACTGCTATCACGAGCGAATTTGTGATTCCATCCCACATTAAGTCTCCGACTCTCGTACCCAATCATTTACTACACCGTAATCCGACCTCAGTATCAGGAGCGAGTCAACTTGGTTGAAAGTGTGGTTGGCCATCCCTACAAGATCTGCAACGCCCTGCCCGCTGTGACGACCCCGGTAACGATGAACTAAAGGGCAACTCCTATCCTTTACCGTGCTGTCCATCACATTCGAGATTGCTGTGCATTCCCCCTTCAATTCGTTCCGAGCAGTGTTGCTGCATATCTGGTATGCAGACGGCGCGACTTCCATGTCAATTCGAGAGAACCTGGTGAGGTTAATGCAAAGGCTTCCGGTATCAGCCAACGCGCGAAGGACTCCATGGGCTCTGTGGCGCTGTTCGATGCGATGACCGTGCGGCATGAAAGACTGAGCGAGAGAGTCTGTCAGCTCTTGAAGCCGGCCGATGGCCTCCTTGTCCTTCGTAGCACCAACGTTCTTTTGTACGGCCATGTAACCCGCTACCATGCACTGTAGATGGTCAAAGCGAACATCGCACAGGACTCTGAAGGGCGCGGTTAGGACGTTCCTGTCAGCCTCTGTGTTGCCAGGAGCTTGGATGTGCAAAATTACTGGAGTTTTCCCGTCTCGTGCTAGTCCCCGCACCGAGCTCAACACCCCCAGTCTTTCGTGCAACTTGCACTCTGATAGGGCCTGGAGCGTCGACGCCACGTCAAGTGTTTCTCCATTGACTGCTTGTGCCAGTGCGGCATTGCGGAAATCCTCCTGACATACGCTGCAGCCTTGTAGCTGGCGCGATGCCCTTCCCAGAGGAGTCTCCCAAGTGACTCCCGCTTTGGAAAGTGTGAGCAACACGTCCAATACACCGCCGGGGCACCATTGTGTAAGGAAGTCCCATGTATCCTCACAGTGTGGGAAGCCTTCTCTGGCGAAGTAGTCAAAAGCCCGCGGGCCGATAAGGACAGTTCCGGTACGGCTAAGGCATTCCACCATCTGTGGTGTGTTCTTGAACCAACCGCGAAAGAAGCTTTGCGGATTGATTCTGTCGTCCACCGCACGCTTGACTGTATGGACATCTTGAGAGCCTCCGTCCTCGCAGGAGTGGGAGGAGCGGTTGCCTTTCCGTGCGAGACACGCCTTGAGTACAGACCCAACGTCGGAAACCGGAAGGTATTGAAATATGTGATCAAGAAGCTCCTGGGGTAATGGTGTCATTGTGAGATTTGTCTTTTCAATCCGCCTTGCTAGTGTAAAGATGGATCATCAAATGACTGAAACCCTCGATCATTTGGGGTTTAGACGAAGGAATTACCCCTCAACTATCTGTGCCGCAAATAACACACTTAAGCCGCAGCGTCTTCACAGATGGCATTCAGTCAAGTTTTCTTGTCGTGAATATAGTAACCGACAGCAGAGCCACTTTCCCAGACATATTTACTATTGCATCCTCATCTATCATGACTGCCCCGGGATCGGAAATTGTCAACCTTCAGCTTAACTGTTGTCTCGCTGTTGTATCCCCATTGCTTTTGCAACACCACGCACCTACCCCCGCACATTCCTTGATTATCGTACAAATATCACACATTCTATCCCTTTTACATGTAGCAGCATTCACTGGACATTCATGTGGACAAACGCATCAAATGCTACTTGGTCCAAGAGTGCAGCAGTGTGCTATTTAATTCCATCACATCCGTATGTCTTCTGTACCACTGGATCAAAGGAAATTGTACGAATGCCACTGCCAGCGACGATGTTGGATTGCCACACGCATTGTCAAGTCTTTAACAGAGCAAGTCAAAACGCACATGGAGTGGAAATAGTTCGAAAGCACAGGGGACCCAAAGACGCTAGACAATGGTGTGATGTACAATTCACCTGAGCTGGAGAACCAGAAGCGAGCAATTGTCTTCTTTCAAGACACTTTTTGGAGTCGCGTTGTGCTGCTTAATTCTCTTAAAATGTGGAAATGTCTATCACGAATGTATTGATCTGCTTTCACAAAGGCTGGATGTTGCTTTCACTTGGGTGCACTCTCGATCGCTCAGAGAATTATCCGCCGCTGTATTTACTAAGGCTGTCTGCCCTGGCGTTGTTCCTGTGGCAACCTGTCTCTGATCTCGGATTCCAACTCATTACGAGATTGATAACCTCCGCCGTTGCATACACAAATGCCCTCTACGATGCCCTTTTCTCTATCATCTTTCATCTCACAAGTCTCATGGAACGTATGGCCATTATTGCAGTCGGTGCGGAGTAACATCTGCCACTTTTCGTAGGGATTTTCGCAAAAAATGCAATTCTTTGCCGAGCCGGGAAACTCCTCAGGCCAATGACCCAAGTATACGTACTCGTCAGGTATCTCGAAGTCAGTGACTTCAGGATTCCATTCGTCAATCTTGCCTCGATTAAAGACAGACAAGCAATCCTCAGCAGCGTCTTTGTAAGGCAATTGGCTTTTGCCCGCCTCTAACCAGCGGTTGAGAATTGGGGTACGCTTTTCATGGTCCAGTCCGATGAGCGTGCGAGACGCAATCAATCGATATTCCCAGGTTGTGCAGAGTTTTCTTAAAGCCAACTCGCATCGATCTAGAGTCTCGCGCTCTAAGGCAACCCGTATACCTCCGGAGTTGCACCACTTGAGGTACAAGAATAAATCGCTGTCACTGAGAGTTGCGACAAGGCTTTGAACTAATTCTTTGACGGTAGACTGTTGACTGTTCCCCAGCCTTGGAACCGAGTCAGTAAGAGAAGACATATTGTTGGAACAAGGTAGATCAGAAACCCGTGGGGCGTGCTGTGTTGCAACAATGCAGAAAATTTGTAGAAGGTCGAGCTGTACCGGGAATAGATTACAGCAATCCTCAGATTAACGTTAAATAGTTATAGTGAGGTCCTGAAATTGCAGTCAGAAAAATCTACCTTGGATTCAGATGTAGGAGATAATACGTTGGACCCGTAATTTTTAAATGGTGTCTATACTAAAAATTTCAACCTACGGTAAACTCTTTCGAACGTCGGTTTACAGACCCTGCATTAGTTACACCTGGAGTGAGGAGAAAGGCATTCTCTCAAAGAAATGTAATGGCCTAACCAAGCTTTTTGTGTTTTTTTTTTTTGGAGAGTTTCACAGACTGCTGCCGGCGTTCTGACACAGTCTTGGACGATGCCACGAGCGGCGCAGTGTTCGGGGGGCACTGCGAACCCCCGGAAAATTGCCAAGACCGCCTCAATTTTCTGCGCCGCCCTCATTTCTGCGTCTACCTCACTATTTGTTGGCCTTGTCTTCTACTCCACCTCATATTTACGCCCAATGCAATTTTTTTTCTACTCTCCTCGCTTTCTCCTCCGGTAGTCAGCTTGCTGCAAAAATTCTGTTCCTACTCTCATCACAGTCTTGGCAACTGACGGGGTCTTGGCTCACCCTCGGCGAGCAGCCGCGCCGCTGGTCGCCTTCGTCCCTCGTGCGGCTTATCGTGCAGGGAAATACAGAATCTACATGACCTCACGAGTTGTATGATGGGCTTGACTTTGCAGAGCCTACAAGGACGCACGTCCTACCAATGGCAAAGTAGATGCAATGGCGGGGTGTAGGTACTGCGGCAGACAGGAGACTAGAGCAGCACGAAAAGGGTCTGCACTCGATGGTACCCATCCAGCGTGCGAACTGCCTGCTCAGAGATGGCTTCATTGCTGAGGGCCCCAATTCATTCAGGCCATGGGTACTTAAGTGCTCGTGTGTCATGGTCCACTCGTTCCCTTCGCGCTCAACACCTTCCGCTCCTTTGGTCGTCAGTACACTCGTTTCTGTGTCACAGTGCTAGTCAAGGTAGTCAAGCTAGTCCAGCCAGTCCTTACTCACCCTCCAGCTCGTTCAGTGCAAACTTTTGAATTATGGCTCCTATTCTCTCCGCCATAGGCGCTGCCGCCCTCGCTGCCATGCCGTTGGCTAGCGCCCACATCTGCATGAAGAACCCGCTGCCCTTTGACGCCACCCAGTTGAGGCAGGACCGCAGCCCCCTCACCCCAGAGCAGTACCCCTGCAAGTTCCAGACCTACCAGGCAACGGAGCGCACCGAGCTCGCCGTCGGCCAGCAGTACACTCTGGACTTCTACCCCGGTGACGATGCGGAGATTGCCGAGATTGGCAGCACCCAGGGCGCCGCCGTGCACAACGGTGGCTCGTGCCAGCTGTCCATCACCTACGACGAGAACCCCACGGCCAAGTCGGTCTTCAAGGTCTTCCACTCGATCGAGGGTGGCTGTCCGGGCTTTAACCAGAAGACGTCGAGTTTCCAGTACTCGATCCCCAAGTCGCTGAAGAACGGCCCGGGCATCCTGGCCTGGACCTGGTTCCCCGTGTCCAGCTACGCGCCCGAGATGTACATGAACTGCGCGCCTGTGACCATCTCGGGCGGCGCCGACGACAACTCGGCCTTCGACGAGCTGCCCGATATGTTTGTCGCCAATCTCGGCTTCAGCACCTTCGACGCCGGCCTCGGCGCCGTCAGCTCCATCTCCCAGAGCACCGTCACCCAGGCCAGCCTGCTCGCCCAGGGCCAGCTGCCCCAGTGCGTCACTCAGGGTGAACGAGTTCTGGAGTTCCCCAACCCCGGCGACAGCCTCGACGTCGGCGCCTCCGACGTTCTGAAGGGCGGCCTCGCCGTGCCCACGGGCCAGTGCGCCGGCGGCGGCAGCAAGGCTTCTTCCTCTTCCGGCTCATCCCTCTCTAGCGCCGAGACCTCCGCCGTTGTCCAGCCCTCTTCTGTTGCCGGCATCTTCGCCGAGGCGCCCTCCTCCGCCCACGATGTCACTCTCA